GTCCCTGTCCTATTGTTTCTCTTATTCTTTTATTTTTCTTATATGTAACCATTTCATGTATTCACAACTATGTATACATTTATACTTATTATCTTGTAAACAATTGGCAAATCAAATAAATAAATAAATAAATAAATAAATAAATAAATAAATAAATAAATAAATAAATATAACAACCTCTTTGATTAGTGTTCTCAGTTTACTATCTATTTTATTTGAAGCTTTGAAATGCTAAGCACCACCAGTCTTTAGGCTTTCCAGTGAAGGCAGAGCAACGTTTTGATTTTGCTGCTGGCAACTACCAATCTCTCTATAATCCAAGTAACTGATTACCCCAGCTCACAAATCCCAGAACATAAATGGAAGAGTGGATTCACACTGCATGAATGTGCCACACATATATACAGATCAAAACTACCTGAACGGCAGCTGCTACTAGGTTTTCTACTAAAACAAGAAAAAAAAAGACTTTTGCTATAGCTGCTGAGTTTGGGAACCCAATAGGCTGTTCTGAAGATATCAGTTGAAGCCTTAATTAAGATTATCTAACACTTTAAATAAATCATCCTTTAAATACACCTTGGGAGGAGTCCAAGGTACAACTGTGAGGTCTCCAGTAACTTGAGATAGTTTAATAGCCAATGCTTTAACAATACAACCTCTTGTCATTATCTACAGGACCATACTTACAAAGACACAGAGAAAGATTCACCGTGATGCAGGAGAAGCTACGAGACATTCTGCTCAAAGATGGAATCAACCCACCTATTGCACTTGCTGTTGCCTGTGGCTCAGTCACAGTGGTTGTGTTATGGAAATGGGTGATACGTAGAGAGATCCAGAGGAAAATGAAAGAAGCCCAACGCTGGCGAAATGGCAGCCTGGAACAAATGGAAAAAGTGGCTTGGAAGCTTAAACAGAAGGTGTGTTCTTCTTGGGGTGGGAAGGATGGTGTTTGTGTATTGTGGAGGGTCTTCCAAATGTCAATGTTGCTGCTTTTATAAAGACCTTTGAATTATTCTCAAGTGTGAATGATGAAACTTAGGTCAGCTTTGCTAATTTATGGACCTTCTTGTTTTACAAAGTATGGGTCACTACCAATGATAGGTTGCATCTTTTCTTAAATTTTGTCATGTCATACTTTCTGTAATTTTATGGGAAGGGAGGATCGATGAAACCTTATGTACAGCTTAAATTTTAAAAAAACACATATCCACTACTTTCTGTATGGGCAAACCCTGTAGTATTTATTGTGCACTCTTCATTTGCTTTGAAATAGCTAAAATGCAGCATGGAAGCTATTTTTAATTTTAATTTTTGCATCCGTAATGATTATAAAGTACAGAAATTATATGTGAATTTTTATTTATTTATTTTATTTTATTTATTTTGTCAAATGCTTACAATATAATAGAAATAAGAATAAACATAAGTTTAAAAATAAGAAATAGGAACTAATAATTGGGGACAATAGGATAGGGACGGTAGGCATGATTGTGCGCTTATGCACAATTTCTCTCTCTCTCTCTCTCTCTGTGTGTGTGTGTCACTGAGTAGTTATAACATATGGGGTATGTGGGCTTTTCAGATCATAATTTCAAAGAGGAATCAGTATCTGCAAAGCATTTAAGTTACAACAGAATTAATTTTGCCTCTCTGTCTCACTGTCTGTCTGTCTCTCTCTCTCTCTCACAACACACACACACACACACACACACACACACACACACACACACACACACACA